CGTACCCGGGACTTGGGTGCCAGCCAGTAGCCAATGCAGAGGAAGGGCATGGTGAGGAAGATGAGAAAGGCGATGAAGAGCTTCCAGATGGTGGTGCTTCCGCGCCAGCCAGCCAGGTTCCCACACCAGATGGAAGACAGAACTTGCTGACAGATGGGGTGTGCTACAAACTAAGCAGGGTTGGGCCGTGAGAGAAGATGGCCACCAGGCAGGAGGGCCACGAGAGTCAGCTGCATGCACAGTCCTTACTTCCTGCCACAGAGATCGGAACATCATCTTGTCTCCATGACAGCCCACCCAGGAGAAAGGGGCTTCACCTGCCATGTGACCTCGGACAAGTGCCTTCAGTAGGCCTTGATGTGGACGAATCTTAATATTCCAAAACTCTCCACACCCCGCATTCTTGAGTCAAAGTCAGGCAGGAGTGGGTAGAACTTAGGTCTAAGTCCCAGAATTCCCAGTGTTCCCTGCCTCGGCATGTATATGTGACATAAGTCTAGGTGAATGATCTTTTTTTTTTTAAGATTTATTTATTTATTATGAATACAACAGCCTGCCTCCATGTATGTCTGCATGCCAGGAGAGGGCACCAGATCTCATTACAGCTGGTAGTGAGCCACCATGTGGTTGCTGGGAATTGAACTCAGGACCTCTGGAACAGCAGTCAGTGTTCTTAACCTCTGAACCATCTCTCCAGCCCTAGGTGAATGATCTTGAGGAGGGAAGGGCCATATGGAGATGACACACAGAAAGCTTTGGTCGTGTGCCTGGTAGGTCAGGACACCATCATGTGGATGAGATGAGTCAGGGGCTGGGGAGACTGGACAGGGATCCTGTCTTTAGTGTGACTGTTGGGTAGGACATCTAATGACACAGTGGTGAAGAAATTCACCAGCCATTTAACCCCTTGCTATGTAGGTGAGGTGCTACAGTCTGGGCCAAAGTTACTCATCAGGCAAGAGGCAAAGCTAAGTCTGTGTAAGACCTGGATATGAAATCCTAATGGTGACTGGCTTTCCAAAGGGGAGGGCGCTAGTGCTCAGATTTAAGGTAACCAGGTGAGGTATGGGAAACCTTCCCTCTTGCTGGTAAGGGCTCATACAGAAGGGTATCCAGAATCAAGGCCTCAGAAGGTCCTGAGGATAGGAAGTCACAGTATAAGGCTGACACGGGATACGCCTCAGAGGAGGCAGGACATGGGACCAAGCCCTGGGAGGCAGGCAGTAGGCCCAGCTGACCTGTTTCTGGTTGTAGTTGACAGCCAGCCGCAGTCTTGCCAGGTTGGGGATACCCTCCTCAAAGGCCTGGCCCAGGCCCTCAGACTCAGGCTCAGTCTCACAATCTTCACCCAGGTCATTGAGCACAGCGGTGACCTCACTCTGATTCCGGCACATGCCCAACAGTTCAAAGCCATAGTCTTGGCAGAGTGACTCCAGGGCAATGTACTGCGGCTGTAAGAAAAGAGGTTTGTTTGTGCCATCGAATCAACCTACCCCCCCAACAGTAGGCCAGTGTCGCTTCTGTCTGATGCTATTCCCGTCTCATTAGTAAGTCACTTCAACCCAAACCTGCCACCTCTGTCTGTCCCTTGGACTTCTCTAATTCCTGGTTCCTGTCCCACTTTAACTCTGACTCCCCATACTGTCTTTATTTTTTTATTTTTTTGGTTTTTCGAGACAGGGTTTCTCTGTGGCTTTGGAGGCTGTCCTGGAACTAGCTCTTGTAGACCAGGCTGGTCTCGAACTCACAGAGATCCGCCTGCCTCTGCCTCCCGAGTGCTGGGATTAAAGGCGTGCACCACCACCACCCGGCCCCATACTGTCTTAAACACTGCTTTTATTGTGTGTGATGTGTGTGCAGGTTCACATGCCATGGCATGCTCATGGTGGCAGTACAACTTTGTAGAATTGGCTCTTTCCACTGCTATGTGGGTCCTGGGGACTGAACTCAGGTCCCGACCAGATACTCTGCTTCATGTATCTTTGGTACATCCAAGGTCCTCATACTGTTTTGGGGGTGGAGTGGATCATTGAGGTAGGACCTCATGTATTCCAGGCTGGCCTCAAACTTGCCAAAGATGATCTTGAACTCTGACCATTCTGTTTCTACCTCCCAAGTGGTGGGACTACAGGTATGTCCACCACATGTAGTGCTCGTCCACAGCAGGCAGGCACTTCTCTGAGTCCTATCTCCAACCCCCCATTATATGTCTTTTGCCAGGACTTCAGCTTGCTTCAACTACCTCCCTTGCTCAGCTTCACTAGCAGGCTTTTCCACAGCCAAGCTTCAATACCTCTTCCCTTAAGAATCTTACTGAGGCCGGGCGGTGGTGGCGCACGCCTTTAATCCCAGCACTTGGGGGCAGAGGCAGGCGGATCTCTGTGAGTTCGAGGCAGGGCTGGACCGACAACCTCCAAAACAATACAGAGAAACCCTGTCTCGTAAAACCAAAAAAAAAAAAAAAAAAAAAAAGAATATTACTGAGATACAAAAGCCACAGGTCACTTTATTTTTCTGCTTCTGTGCTTTGGAAGTCCTGCGAAGACCACCCAGAGGCACTGAATGAAGTCCTGGGAATACCTTGTCCCCTTTTCCCATCCGAGATCACAAGCTTGAGAGCCCCGATACACAGCACTCCAGGTGAAAACACCGTGGGCACCCCTAAGGCCCATGCTCTACTGAATGCCATGTCTAGGTTTATCCAGCTGTTTCTATTTATCTCTCTTACCTTAGATGGATCTAGAGTACCACTAGGCGCATAAGCCAAATGGCCCTGGAGTGATTGCTGTCGGCAGAATGAAAATCTGTTCAGAATGGAATTGTAGCTCTTAGAACAAGAGCCTCACCGCCTTTTACCAATTCTCACTTTCCAAACTTCCTAGAATGCCCACCATGCAGCCCAGTCCTGCCCCAGTGCAAGAACAGACACGGGGCGCAGAGGGCAGGATGGAGTCAAGAGTGGGGGCAACACACCTTAAACTCAGGCTCCTTTCGCGCCAGGCGCCTGAGCTCCCGGCTGAGCTGAAAGGCAGCCAGCATGGCATCCTCACTGGCCAGGGAGAGGTGAGCCCGGCTTGCAATGCCACGGTAGGTGTTGATTCGGGATAACGAGAACTTAAGCAGGTCATATCGGCGGGCATTGCTGCACTCGAGGCAGGCACAGGAAACTGGGTGGGGCCGAGCAATAGTGTGGCCCTGGTCCATGAGCAGCTGGGCAATCTCATATAGGTCCTTCTGGCAGGCTAGCGTGAGCGGAGTGACACCAGGGGCAAAGCGGGAGCCATCGATCGATGAGTCGAAGAAGGCTAGAGAGAAGGACTTGGTGTCTACTTTTCGGCCCTTCTCCCGCTCCAGCCGAGCTAGCAGGCAACGCACCACCGCTGGCTGGTTTGTGTCCACCGCCACGAGCAGAGCTTCGTGTATCTGCCGGAAGTCAAACTTGATGTTGGCCAGCAGCACATCCGTGATGGCCTCGTGGCCCAGACGGATGGCCAGGTTGAGGGCTTCCCTCCAGGAGCGGTCCTCAGACTCTTCCACACTGCGAAGAGGCCCACCGCCTGAGGTGTCGGAGCCTGACTCCAGCAGCTGCTGCACGAGACCCAGCTGGCCCTCCTGGATGGCACCCAGGAGCGTGGGTGGGAACTTCAGCTTTTTGTTCACAATCTCGGTCCAGTTGGGCTGTGGCTGTGTGAAGGGGGGGGGGGGGAGAGGACAGTGGCTCCTGAGTCCCCAAACCCCTTAGTCTGGAAGCCTTCCTCACCTACCTACCTTCTGGCCTCTAACCCTCTGTAATTAGCTATTATGCCTTCCTTGTCGGCAACGCACAGTCTTGTTCACCATTTTATTATGTAGATTCCTGCTAGGGACGTGCTAGAGTGGGGAAGTTAGTAGCTCACTTCCACTCTCATAGAGAGCCTACATACTAGGGCCCGGTGTTAGTTCCCTGTAGAGAGGTGGTTGGAGCAGGTGGTCAGGGCCACCCTGGGAGCCTAACACACGCAAACACACAGAATCTGGCTAGAATCCAGTTCCCAGCTTGTTGACTCCATCTTCCAGCTGCTCATCTCTCTGAAGGGCAAGTCCAGACATGTTCACTGGGAGGGTCTTTAAGCTGGGCTTCCCCCAAACCCTTCCTCTATGAAGAGGACTCCTGCTAGGCTCCCAATGCGGTCCCCTCCATCAAATGCTCTCACTTTGCCTCCTGCTTTGGAAGGCATCTCTCCTCTTTGGCAGTGTTTGGTCCTGCTCTTCTACCACCAGGTACAGCCCATCCTCATTGCTTTTTTTTTCTAGGCCCAGTATATCAGGGCTCCGGAGGCTCTCCCACCCACATGGTGGTACCCACAATCTGTCCCTGCATCCCTGCGGGCAGTGAGCCATGGGACTGGGACGGGGAGAGGAGGGAAGAGGGAGGCAAGGGTTTCTTACCGAGAGGGGATCCATGGCTACAGCCACCTCTGCAGGCAGGGGCTGAAGGCTTGAACTCTCCTTCTGTCTCTCCCTTGACTGTGCCCAGCATCCTCTTTCATCCCCACTCAAAGCCCCGCCCTGCGCCCTCCTTTTCAGGACCAGCTGCTCTCTCTCTGCCCTGTACCCCGGGGATAGGGGGAGCTAGTGTTAGTGCCACACGATGCTGTCTCTTGGGAACAGGAGCAGAGCGCATACTTCTTCAAAGCAGAATTTGGACTACCCAGGTCCAGGACGGGGGCGACTGTAGTCCAATGATCTCACTGAACAGATGGGATTTGCTCAAAGCCTCACAGCCAAACCTAGAACCATCTATTCCTTAGAAAGGAATATCTCTGGTCCCTTTGACAGCCCAATGAGCAACTGGAAGAGGTTTTCCTGTTCCCGAAGGTCCATTTCAGACCCACAATAAGCAAAGTGTAAAGTTATAGAGCAGTCATCTGATTACATGGAGGGCAGACATCTATGAAGGATACAGAAGGTCAAGGTCATAAGAACTCAACTGTTAGTTTCATGTTCAAAACTCACGCATCTTCCCAGAACACCATCGGACTTTATTATTTCCAGTCCACATTTTCTTTCTAAGCCTCAGTTTTCCTTTCAGGAAAATGGGCACGAGGATAAGTACCATTCACCGAGGAAAACACATTTTAGATAGTGTCCTAAGGCCTTGGAGAGATCACCAATTCTACCAAAGAAGTTCCAAGGGGAAATTGTCCTTCTGAGAATTGGGTACCATAGTGACAAAGCCTTGACAACCAGGAATCGGGAACAAGCTGGTCCAGAAGTGTCCTCAGGCAGGCAGAGTTCTGGTAATAGGTGAAGGGAGAACCAACCCTTCTCAGTCACAAGAGACCTATTCCCCAGGCTCCACGTAAAGGGTCAACAGAACTTCATGGCTCAGGCTGGAAAAACTTCCCCACACATGCTGGCATGCTCTTCTATTTCTCTTGCTGAGAACTGTAACTCACAAATAGGGCACTGCACCCAGGAAGGCGCTGGTGAGCTCTCTGGGGAGGACACCCACAGCACAGACTGCGAGGAAGATGAAGAAGAGGGAGAAGCTGGAGGCGGTGGGGAGCTCTCTCCACAAGTGGCAGCATGCAAAGGAAGTGTCTCCGTGCTGAAGGAGCCTAAGAAGGAGGAGGACATAAACAAAATGGGACTGGTTCCCAGGCAAGCTGCCACCCGAGATACTGAAGGAGGACCTGCTGCAGCTGCCTGTGTGGGAAATCTCCCACACACCAAGAGACACTATCATGTATCTGCCAAGCACTCATCAGACATTTACTATGCGCCCGACAGTATGCTAGATGCCGAGGGATGTGGATGTGCTCACAGAATGTTGAGTCTACTGGAAAAGGCCAGTTATGAGCACAAAGAACATTGCCACCAGACCAGGACAAATCAAAACTGTGTTTGGTGTGTGCATCATATACACTTACAGAAGCCAGAGGGTGACATTAGCTATCTTCTCGCTTCTCCACCTTAGTTTTCGAGACAGGGTCTCCTGCTGTACCTGGAGCGAACTAGTTATCTAGACTGACTGGCCAGTGACGCCCAGGAGTCTGTCTATCTGTCTATGTCTGCACCTCTAGCCTGGAGTTACAGACATGGGCTGCCACACCCAGCTTTTACATGGGTGCTGGGGATATAAACTCAGGTCCTCATAGTTGTGTAACAAGTGTTTAACCCACTCAGCCATCTCCCCAGGCTCTACCAAATATTTCTGCCAGTACCCACAGACCTCCTCCTGTCTTCCTCAATGAAAGCCTAGTCTTCACAGAGAAGTCAGTGCAGCTCACCTGTACAAATGGGACATTGTCCAGTGGCCTGGACACCATCGTCATTTTTGGTCTCAGGTCGGTGCTGTCTTTGCTTTGCTCTTGCTGCCCTGCTCCTATTTGGCTGAGAACTTGAGTCGGACAATGGTCTGTGGGAAAGAACAGTTTAAGGCCAGCTATCAGGGAGAGACCACAAAGGCTGAAGGAACACAGAATCCAGCCCAGAAGCATGTGGACGAGAGTGGAAGCAGTAACTGGGTCAGAGTCCTTGTTTTCCCACTTGATACGACACATTAGAGGGAGGGAGGGAGCCTTCGAGCATCTGACAACAGGGCTTCTATCACTGTCCTCCGTTTTAGAAATTACTTCATTTTGAGAGAGGGTTTTACCATGTAGCTCTGCATGGTCTAGAACTTGTTGCAGACCAGGCTTTCCCAGAACTCACAGAGATCTGCCTGTCTCTGCCTTCCAAATCCTGGGATTAAAGGAAAGGAATATGCCTTCATGCCTGGCACTTTTTAAATTTTAAAACTGAGATACTGCATACATAACATAAAATTGGAAGCATGGATTAAGGATACTTCCAAACTGAGTAACTACAACTACTTCCAGAACATTTTTATCAGTCCCCAAAGAAACTCCAAATGCATCTTAGTCACTCCCCATTCTTCTGTCTGTCCTCATAGACACCAGCAACCACTACTTTCAGGCTAGCCTGAAACTTGCTTTATATCCCAGTAGTCCATGTGGTCAAACTTGCAACCTTCCTGCCCTGGTCTCCAGGTGCTAGGATTACAGGCCTGAGACATAAGATTTGCATTTTGATCAGATGCAGTGTATACATTGTCTTATGCTGGTTCACTATGGGGCCAATTTCTGCCTATCTCTAAGTTTGATGACATATAGAAAAGGACATCTTTCTCCTTGATTGTAGTCTAAGAGAACAAGACCCAGATTGCCCAGGCCTAACTGAAGAAAGAGTGAGGAGAGCTTTGGAGAGTACTGAGGTCTAGAGGTGATGGCTGCCTGCCTACCTCTGGTCCTGCAATTTCCTTCTCTTCCTTCTGCCCACATCACTCTTCTTGTTTTGTTCTTCTGCCCTGGGCTCTGCATTAGAAATGCTTATTAGTTATTTCTCGTCACATCACACATGGTGACACATGCCTGTAGTCCCAACCCTCAGGATGCTGAGACTGGAGGACAGTAAGTTCAAGAACAACTTGGGATGAATAATGAGACCTTTTCTTGAAAAACAAAAATCAAAACAAACAATCTGGCTATTTACAAAAGGCTTCTACATTTTAAGTTTTCTTTTGAGATATTTTTTCTATCTTCTTTGCCTGCTTAGTTTTTCTCATTCAAGTCTGAGATGAAATGGTTATTCCTACGAGGCCTTTCTGACTGAAATTTTGTCATTCTATCATCTGTTCTTTCAAAGTATTTATCACAGTTTAGCTTTAGAATTCCTTTTGTGACATAGACATGCATCCCTTCATTAAGATATGAGCATTGCTATTTTATTTATTATAGTATCTCAGGCACCATACATGGGTAGCACATACAGATATTCAATAGATACATGTTAAATGAACAGTAACAAAAACCAACAGTCACCATTTACCTCTTTATTTAGAATTTCAGACATTCTTGGTACAGCTGAATGTATTTCAAAGTGCTTACATAATCTTTGTACCTTTATCAATAGTAGATATTCTTTTTTTTTTAAGGTTTTTACGAGTCAGGGTCTCGAAAAACGAAAAACAAACAAACAAAAAAAGTTTGGTTTCTTTTCAGACTCCTCTTAAATTGTAGACCTTTATCCTTACAGACTGTTTGTACTGAGGGCCTCTCTGAGTGTGGATGGTATCTAGTAGCAAATGGCACAGCATCTGTGCATGTGTTGCAAAAAGCCATGACTTCACTAGGATGTGGGAGCACATGTCTTCAATCCCAGCACTTGGGAGGCAGAGGCAGGTAGACAGGTATCTTTGAGCTCCAGGCCAGCTAAGAGTTACATGGTGAGACCTTGTCTCAAAGAAGAATAAAAAAAAGCTATGACTTTTGGCTGGCACTCTTCTTCCCTTTTGTTTGTCATTGATGGAACAAATGCCATAGTGTGAGATACTGACTCTCCAACCTCTGCAAATGAGCGGGGATAGCATCCTTTCCAGAAGGGCCCGGAGACACTGCAGTCATTTCTTTTTCTTTTCTGAGACAGGGCCTCATGGGATTCAGGCTGGCTGGGCTCTATGTAGCTGAGAATGACCCTGACTACTGATTCCTCTGCCTCCTTCACTCCCCAGGCTTTGGGATTGAGGTATTCACTAGCATTGTCTTTCTGACAAGATCACTGAATACCAACATTGCAATAAACTAAAGTATTATTTGGTTTAACCCCTTTCCTATGAACAAGACAAGGATTCCTGATTCCTAGGCCAGTGTTCTTTCAATTAGTATATATTTTTTTCCCTTTCACTTGAAAAGAGCCATCCCAGTACAGGGCCAGGGAGGAAAGACAGTGTCAGGCACAGCAAAGAACAGATCTTGGAGCCTCACCTGCACTCTTTGGATGACTGGGACTTGGTTCCCCATAGCTGTTCTTTGGGCTTACCACACTCGCTGGAGGTGCCTTATGGGCAGCAGAGAGCACCATGCGGGCTGCCCGCCCCAGAGGTCCTGGTTGCAACTGTTTCAGCATACCCTTGAGCTCTGAAATTTCCTTGGTGCTCCTGCAGAGAAACAGTACTTTGTTTCACTCAGAATGCAAACATTATTTTATTTATTCAAACCAAGAAAGACTGTCCGCTATCCTGACTGATATGTAAGACCTTAAGTGATTAATCAGGAGACCATAAGACGGGTTTTTGTGCCCCTGAGCTATGTGGTCTTTCCCTTACAGGAGAAATATCAACAACAGGTACATACGTCTGGGGACCTGGGAAGAATGTCCTCTGGATAGAAGGATTTGTCAGCCAAGGCTTAGGATCAGACTCCAGGGTATCAGAAGAGCTCTGAGGAGAAAATGGAGAAGTAAATACCCGGATACACCAGCAGGGGACACTGCTGCCTAGGAACACAATGTGATTATAAGTATCTGCAGTAACTTTTACAGGGTGCATTTGCTGGTGTGAGCAATCTGTGATACCTTGATTTCGTATGCTGAGGGTTTTATCACCATCAGAAGGGTCCTGGGAGTAAAAGAATCCACAATATTGGGTAAAAAAAGTCTATGGGGACTGATGGAATGTGCAAACTTTTGAGTTTGTTTGTTTCTTGTTTTTTTTTTTTTTTTAAAGATTTATTTATTACATATACAGTGTTCTGCCTACAGGCTGGAAGAGGGCACCAGTATGAATTGTAGATGGCTGTGAGCCACCATGTGGTTGCTGGGAAATGAACTCAGAACCCCTGGAAGAGCAGGAGTCAGTGCTCTTAACCTCTGAGCCATCTCTCTAGGCACCTTTTTTGGTTTTTCAAGACAGGGTTTCTCTGTGGCTTTGGAGGCTGTCCTGGAACTAGCTCTTGTAGACCAGGCTGGTCTTGAACTCACATATGCCTGCCTCTGCCTCCTGAGTGCTGGGATTAAAGGCTTGCGCCATCACCGCCCAGTTCAGTTTGTTTCTTGTAAACCTTAAAAATATATATCTATATCATACTTTAAATTTGTGTATAAATAAATTTTTAAAAAATGATTTATTTTATATGTGCTGGTATTTTGCATGCGTGTCTGTGTGAGGATGTTAGATCCCCTGGAACGACAGACAGTTGTGAGCTGCCATGTGGGTGCTGGGAATTGAACTTGGGCCCTCTGGAAGAGCTGCCACTGCTCTTAACCACTAAGCCATCTCTCCAGTCCCTAAAGTAAATTTTTATAGGTCTAAATTAGAAAGTTCAAGTCCAGCTACAGAGCAAGTTCTTGCCTAAAAAAGAAAAAAGAAAAAGCTGGGTGGTGATGGCATGCAACTTTAATCCCAGTACTGGGGAAGGAGAGGCAGGAGGATCTCTGCGAGTCTGAGGCCAGCCTGATCTACAGTGAGAGTTCCAGAAAGGACAGCCAGTGTTATGCAGAGAAACCCTATCTCAAAACAAAAGCAAAAAGAAAACTCATGAGAGATCCACCTGCCTCTGCCTCTCAAGTGCTTGGATTGATGACAGAGCCAGGTATATAATATAAATATACAGAGGGCTTTGCAAGGCAATGAGTCAGAGAGCAATGTCAGAGGGGCTGCAAGGGAGACTTGGGTCTTTCAAGTGCTCAAAATGATGCTCTCTGCAAACCCAGAAATAACATATGAGGTTTAGTTGAGAGTCCAAAAGAATTTCAATATAGCTAAAGAACAAATGACAGCTTTGTGTAGAGTGAATTCAAGGCTCACTTACATCTCTGCCAAGTAAAAGAAGAAAAAGGGGTTTATTCCACAAGTCCAGGGTGTTATGTTCAAAGGAAACTTCAATTCCCCAAACTCCAAAAGGCAGATGAATATTCAGAAACAGGCTCAACCCGGACTGCAGGAGGATTTGCGGCAGTTAGACAAAAGCCAGCATTCCTCAGGAACTTATAAAGTCAGTTCTCTTCAGCCAAAAAGAGTTATTTCCCTTATCACTGGCAGAAGGTACAAAAGGCTACCTGTGCTGCCTACAACACACCAAGTGCATGCTGTCCTCTATGCTCCCTCAGTTCCAGGAATCCACGCCAGTACCCTGCCTTTCTCACCTCCTCCCTACCCCAAACTTGCTCTAGCTCACAGGCTTCCCTCCCCCAGCTACCCATTCTCCTTATAACTAACTCTGCTGTTCTTGCTGTGTGAGCACCTCTGGCCGCTCTTTCTCATATCTACAATCACAACCTTCCTGTTAACCATACCATGGGAAGGACATGCATAGTTTATTCACAGGGAAGCTTATATTCTTTCTCTTTCTGTGTTTACTTTTCTCCAATCAAGCATCAGGCTCTAACTAGGAACTGAAAAGAAGAAAAAAAACAAAACGAAACAAAACTAAATCCTTGCTCTACTATTGAACATACCTGGTTCAGTCCAGAGCCCCCAGGGGCAGAGAGATCCATCACAGGGCCAGCTGAGTGGTCCAGAGAGGAACGCACCCGCAGGAAGGCCAGGCCAAAGGACTGATGGCGTGTGAAAGGTTGTGAGCAGGTCAGTCGAAGTCGATCCCATGATTCTCCTGAGGCTGGAGTCAGGAAATCACCTCAAGGAAGAAGGAGAAAAAGGAGGGGGCTGGAGAGATGGCTCGGTAGTTAAGAGCGCTTGTTACTCCTGCAGAGGACCAGAGTTCAGTTGTCCCAGCACCCATGTCAGGTGGTTTACAACTGCCTGGAACTCTAGCTCCAAGGGATCTCACTCCTCTTCTGGCTTCCTCAGGCATCAGTACTCACGTGTACATATACACACCCCTCCCATATATACATGAGTAAAAACTAAGAATAAATATTTAATAAGGAGAGACGGGGAGGGAAAGAGAAAGAGACAGAAAGAGAAAGCTGAGCATGGAAGTAATCTCAGAAAGCAGATCAGGAGCTCAAGGCAACTTTGAAGTCTGCTTAGGCTACATGAGACCCTAGCGAGAGGGAGGAAGGAAGAGAGGGAGAGGGACATGTGTGTTGTCATGCACTCTGGCACAGGCTTAAGCAGTAGAGAGGAAATGTGCTGCATCGACAGTTACCAGTGGGGAGGCAGGACGGGAGAAAGTCCAAAACTGAAGGGAGACAAGACAGGGCCACACAGGTCAACACCAGTAGGAGGAAGAATGGAGACAGATCACCAGTACATATCCTTTCCAGCCTCGTTTCTTGTCTTCCAGCCACCCCTCCATCAGTTTCATACCAGCCTCTGCCTCTCAAACCAAGAGACTGTGATCTCCCTCACACCACTACACTCTATGCAGCCATTCACAGCATCCAACACCAATAGCACAAACTTTGACTCTTAACATTATCCAGTCGGCATATCATCCCCTGTATCTCACATAAACGCTTCCAAAACTGTACTCTTCCTTTACAACAAGGAAAATACTGCCAATTTAAACACAGATTAACAGATTGCAATCTCCTAGAGGAATCACATCTTGGGCAACTGTTACAGTGCTCAGTGAGTATAGAGATTTGAATAAGCAGAATTCATGAAACACTCTACATTATATAAATGAAACCAGTATACACAAAAATTTATTCTATACTTTTTTCTTTTTTATAGTGCTAGAGATTAAATAAAATAGGGATCAAGTAAAAGCAGCAATCACTGGGTGTGGTGGCCTATGCCTGCAATTCTAATACCTGGAAAGCTAAGGCAGTTCATATTTAAGGTTAGCCTGGGCTTCACATTGAGACCCTGTCTCAACAACCTAAGCCATGATAAAATATCAGGCAACAACAAGTTACAGGAAATATAAATCGTAGCTCAAAAATACCCCCCGACATCCTGACCAGGTGGAACTCACACACAAGTATTAGCTTACTCTGGTCTCCTAACAGATGGAGCTGAGTGCAGGCTCCTCCCATAATCTGTACACAGCAGCCCTTAGACCAAACTCTACACAGCATCTGTCCTTGGAAAAGCCCCCACATCTGCTTTTGCCCTCTTTACCATCTTTAAACATCCGGACCCCTGAGCGGTTCTTCCCCTCTTTTGAATCAGCGAGGGACATGAGCATGGTTGCAGGGAGGAGGGTGACGAAAGGTCTGTCCAGGGGCCAGGAAGAACGACCCACATCAATCTGTAGGAAAGCACAGCCACAGTTACCTGGGGACAAAAAATGGAAAGAAGGATGACAATGAGAATGACCATATTGGGTGGGAAGGGGACACTCCACTCTAGAGCCAATCAGAAGCCACAAAGTTTTGGCAACATGTGGAGTCACACAGGGGGCCACCCATTAGAATGGAATGAAACCCTAGTCCATTAAATGACAGTGGAGGCTCACCATGGTCACCACAGTCTGAAACCTGCCCTGGGAATCGCTGCTAAGGAATCCAATATCTTTCTGTCCTGAGAAAGCAAAGACAGTGGTCTCTCTAACCATTCTTTTTTTTTTGGGGGGGGGGGGAAGGTTTGGAGACAGTGTTTCTCAGTGGCTTTGGAGGCTGTCCTGGAACTCACTCTGTAGACCAGGCTGGTCTTGAACTCACAGAGATCCACCTGCCTCTGCCTCCCAAGTGCTGGGATTAAAGGTGTGCGTCACCACCACCTAGCCTGTAACCATTCTTTAGTCTAGAGAATTCTAAGGCCAACTTTTTTTTTTTTTTGAGACGGTCTTACTATGTAGCCTTAGCTGGCCTGGAGTTCACTTATGTAGACCAGAATGGTCTCAAACTCAAGAGATCTGCCTACTGCAGTCTCTTAAGTGCTGGGATTAAAGAGATGTGCCATCACACCTGGCATCAACTTTTGAAATCTAGAAACTCCTATGCACAGTGTACTTTTCAGTATCCTCCTGACACTGATCTTTAGAGTTGATAAGGATTCTATTTGTTGGTATTGATTATTATGTCAGTGCCCTAAGGCTGTCCTTGAATTTGCTTTGTAGACCAGGCTGACCTCAAACTCAGAGATCTTTCTGCCTCCCAAGCACTGGGACCAGGGGTGTGTACCACCACTGCTAGGCTGGAGGCATTTTTAAAGTTGAGGTTTCCTCCTCTCAGATGACACAAAAGTATGTAGCACATCAGTGATCCCCTGGGAGCCTCCCAACGCTGAGATTATAGGGACCGTGTCACCATAATTGGCTTTGTATATGTATGTGAGTTTTATGTGAGTAGAAGCCAGATGACAGCTTCAAGCATGAGCCCTCACCTTCTACCTTGTTTGAGGCAGGCTGTCTCTGTGTTCCCTGCTGTGTTAGCATACTAGCTTGTCCATGGACTTTTCTGATTCCTGTCTCACAGGAGTATTGGGATTACAAATGTGTATTATCCCATCTGGTTCTTCGTGGATTCTGTGGATGCAAACTTAGATCCTTACACTTGCATGGCAACTGCACTACCACTGAGCTTTCTCCCTAGCTCATGCCAAGCTGTAAATGTGGATTCTAGGGCTGGAGAGATGGCTTGGGGATTAAGAGTGCTGCCTGCCTATTCCAGAGGTCCCGAGTTCAATTCCCAGCAACTACATGGTGGCTCACAGCCATCTGTGATGAGATCTGGTGCTCTTTTCTGACCTACAGGCACGAATGCAGACAGAACACTGAATACATAATGAACAAATGGAAGCAGTCAGGCGGATCTCTGAGTTCGAGACCAGCCTGGTCTACAGAGCTAGTTCCAGGATAGGCTCCAACGCCACAGAGAAACCCTGTCTCAAAAAAAGCAAAACAACAACAACAAACAAAGTGGGTTCTGGGAATCAGATGCAGTCCTTATGTACTAGGCAAGGTCTTTACCAACTGAGCTAGAGCCTCTGCTCCACATCGCATTCACTATGAATGAAGACCCTGGAGTTCTCCAACACCAGACCTTCTTCAAGGGCAAAAACCACACTTTCCCTTCCCACCTAGACAAGGCTTACTCCAGAAAGCTACTCAGTCAGAATGAACTGAGACAGTTGAGGGCAGTGGTTCCAGTCATGTGACTCTTGTGTTTCCTTTCAGAGGCCCCAAAGGCCCTGAGGCGTCACTCACCGACATCGATGTAACTGATGGGGACCACCCTCTCCAGCTGAAGCTCCACTCTCAGCTGGCCACTCTTGTCCCGGGGACAGCTGAGCCAGGGTCCCCTATGACTGTCTGGGTTCAGCAGGTTCTCCACAGGATACTTGGGATCCTACAATAGAGAGAGGAAGACAAGAATCAAGGTTTCTGAGTTCACAGGGAAAAAGGGGTACCTCAGAATAAGGGACATCCACAATCCCATCTGCTGGGCACCTGGACCACCCACAGGAGCTTAGCCTCACTCATGCGGCAGACACATTTACTTCTGCCTCACTCACCACACTACCTCATTTACTCCTGTTATTTCTCCGTAGTTAAGAGATAAACTGAAGCTCATAGGGCTTCAAAGCTCACCCAAGACTCTAGGCTAAATAACTAAACAAAGCAGAACCCCAGATTTCTAAAACTCAAGCTTTTAACACTACACTACATTTAGTTCTTCATTCATAAGACTTTTACACAGACATCTATTTTTTCTTTTTAAATTATTCTTCTCTCATATGCTACACCCCGACCACTGTTTCCCCGCCTTCCTCTCCTCCAGTCCCTCCCCGGCACCCTCCTTCTCCCCCACACCCACTCCTCCACCATTTCCCTTTAGAAAAGGGCAGGTCTCCCAGAGATATCAACCCAACATGGCATATCAAGTTACAACAAGACTAGGCACATCCCTTCATATTAAATCTGGACCAGGCGATCCAGCAGGAGGAAAAGGGTCTCAAAAATCAGGCAAAGGAGCCAGCAACAGCCCCATTCCCGCTGTCAGGAGTTCCACAAGAGGACCACGCTACACAGCCATTATCATGTACACACACGACCTAGGTCAGACCCATATTGGCTCCTTGATTGTTGGTTCAGTCTCTACAAAGACATTTATTTATTTTTAAAAGATTTATTTATTTATTATGTATATACAGTGTTTAGTCTGCATGTTTGACTGTACACCAGAAGAGGGCATCAGATCTCATCATAGGTGGATATGAACATGTTCTCGTGGGGAGTTGAACTCTAGACCTCTGGAAGAGTAGCCAGTGCTCTTAACCTCTGATATGATTCTATGAAATAAGTTTTTGTTTATGTAGCCCAGGCTAGCCTGAAACATAAACCCCCATCTGAGGGTCGATACTGTAGATGTACACCACTACAATCAGCTAAAGATTGTATTCTTAATTTACAACTGGTGCTTAGACATAAGTGATTATTCAAAGTCATTGACAGTGACATTTCCATTTAAGAAATCCCAAATTCACTAATGCAAATGAAAATCCTTTTCAGTTGAGCAGCTTTGAGAAAACAAACGACTTTCCTCCTCTGGTTCTACGTTTCTTTATAAATAAAAGGGAAAGCTATATTCAAGGCTTTTGTTTGGATTTTAGAAGCAGGATCTCAAGGATGACCTCCCAGGTTCTAGGATTATAAGCAAGCTTCTCCACCCCAGCTTTGTCCAGTTCTTTCCTTTTTCTTTTTTTTTTTAATGAATATGGGTGTTTTGCTTGCATGTGCCCCCAGAGGCCTGAAAAGGGTTTCAGATCCCCTGGAGCTGGAGTTCTAGATGGTTGTGTCATGTGGGTGCTGGGAATTGAACCAGGGTCCTTTGGAAGACCAGCAACCATTCATAACTGTTGAGCCATCTCTCCAGCCCCAGATTTGACTCATCATTTTTAACCATATTTTTGTTTTGTTTTGTGTTTCGGCAATAAAATCCTTCTTTTAACTGTAATTTCATGTGAGAATATTTTTCTTATAAAATAAAAGTAAAGCTCTAAATAAAATATAGGTTGGGGAGGGAGGCTAAAGACATTCTTTCATCCTTCTCTCCAGCTTCTAGAACAGTCTCTACGGAGACCACAATGTTAGAAGACTGCTAATATTCTCTAAAATTCTATGACAAAGCATTGTGTATGGTGGTATAGGCCTGTAATTCCAGCACTCAGGTGGATCAGGCAGGATGATTTGAGAGTCTAAGGCCAACCTGGGATATACAGTGAGTTCAAGGAGGGCCTGAGCTACATGGCAAGATCTTATCTCAAAAACAAACAAACAAAAACCCCATAAAAGCAAACAATACTCGAACAAAGGTATATACATCTCTGTGAGTTTGAGGTCAGCCTCTTCCATAAAGAGAGTTCTAGGCCTGTCAGGGATATAAAGTGACACTTTGTCTCTAAAAAAAAAAAAAAAAAAAAAAAAGAGAAGAGGGAGAGGAGGAGGAGGACAATGATGACAGTTCAAGCTGACTTTCAGGTAAGGAAGACTAAGACAATTTTTATTTTATCTCATGGGTTAATATAGTAGTTCCTAAGCACCATCTAAGGGGGCTCTCTGAAAAATATGGGGATTAAAAAAATAATTTTACTTTAATTTTATGTATATGAATGTTTTTCCAGGATGCATACATGTGTACCACATACATGTCTGCTGGGTTCCCTGGAACAGGGGTTAAGGATGGTTATGAGCCACCATACAGGTGCAAAGAATTTTGCAAGACAACATGTGCTCTTAAGCACTGAGCCATCTCTCCAGCCCTGTGTGGGGATGCTTCTGACTGTCATAATCACCATGAAGTGTATTGTCATTAGGGCCTGGAAACCAGGGACGCTAAATTCTACCATGCCAATGACACTGCTGTAAAATAGATTTAGCCACCCAAATGTCAACGGGGCTTAGCATCCCTCAAAAAAGATCAGTGTAATGAGAGGAAAAAGAGGGGGTAAATGATGAGGCAAATAACCAGAGGAAAGGGTGGGAAGTCCCTAATATCCCCATGGTAGATTGGCACTGAGCTCATCCAAGAGGGGAATCGTAGAACTTACATAAAGTGAGCATATTTGATGGTGGTAACTATATCCTCATAGGTCAAGTATGGCCTTGAGTGCCTTTGATTAATTTCAATGGCAGTATGACCAAACTGCCCTTCTAGAAACTCTGGTATAGATAGGCCTAGGGTTTTGTCAGCTATCTATAAAACATGGACAAGTCTTCTACAGCTATCCACTCTTTTTAGTCATCAAAAGAAAAGCAATGGTGGCTGGTGACTAATATACCTGGGAGGAAAATGATACTACATGGCTGATCTTCACAGGAGCCATAGGAGGCTACCAGTTTCCTCTTCTGTTACCACGGTGACACTGCCTTTTTTTGCTCTTGGAAGCTTTTGAAAGAACGAGAATCCTCACATTACTCCTAGAGAAAAAAGAAAAAGAACAAAAGTAATATAAGCTACCAATTCCTATTTTTCTGGTAGCAAGAATTATTTACAGAAGTTGGCTCACTTCTCAAGGCCACCATGGGCTTGTAGGAAGCAAATCTGGATCATCCAGAGACATCCCTCCCCAACAACTGAGACAGCCTCAAGGAAACAAAGCAGCAATGGTGCCATAGATCATCTATCTCTATGTCCCTAGGAACCCAGGACACAATAAGGATGGGCAACAAATGTACAAGTCAATACATTATATAGCTCTGCTTTCTCTGTTCAACGAAATGATCCTAAATTAGCTTTTCCTTCCTCCAAGCTGGGTGTGGACAAATGCTTATGGCCCTAGCATTTGGAAGGCTAAGGCAAGAGGACATAAGAGTTTAAGGACAACTTGTGCTACGTAGCAGGTTCATGGCTAGCTTGGGACACACAGCCAGACCCTGATTCAAAAAGAAGTATCCTTGGACCAGTGAGATGGATTAATGCTGTTTTTTGTTTTTTGAGACAGGGTTTATTTGTGTAACCCTGGCTGTCCTGGAACTAGCTTTGTAGACCAGGCTGGTCTCAAATTCACCTGTCTCTGCCTCTCAAGTGCTAGGATTAAAGGTGGGCGCCACCAGGCCTGGCAGCTTGCTCACACAGGTGTATATACTCATGAGGCCACGGTCAATGTCAGGTGTCCTCTATCATTCTCCACTTTACTTTTTGAGACTGGAGCTCTTGTCTCTCTCTTAACCCAGCTCAAAGGCTGGCTGTGTGCTTGCCAGTAAGTCCCCAGGATCCCCTGTCTCTATTTCCCAGTGTTGAGAGTACAGGCACCAGCTGCTATTGGCTTTTTTTTTTTTTTTTGGTGGTGGTGGGGTGTCGAGACAGGGTTTCTCTGTGTAACAGTCCTGGCTATTCTGGAACTCACTTTGTAGATCAGGCTGGCTTCAATCTCATGGAGATCTGCCTGCCTCTGCCTCCAAAGTGCTGAGATCAAAGGTGTGTGCCACCAAAGCTGGCCAAGGCTGAAAATTTAAATATATGCAAAAATACACAGAAAATAAATTAACTCTTATGTGTTCATCATTCATGGTCAATAATCCTCTGGCAACAGGTGTTTTAAAGGTATGTGACCATTTTTAGGTTGGGGGGTCTCTCAAGATTCTTTTTATTTCTTGAGACAGGATCTTTTTTTTTTTTTTTTTTGGTTTTTTTTGAGACAGGGTTTCTCTGTATTGTTTTGAGGCTGTCAGTCCAGCCCGGCCTCGAACTCACAGAAATCCGCCTGCCTCTGCTTCCCGAGTGCTGGGATTAAAGGCGTGCGCCACCACCACCCCGCCGAGACAGGATCTTGCTACAGGACCTTGTATCTGCTATGCAGCCCAAGCTGGACAAAAATTTTTTTTTAATTAAACTTCTTTTTTTACATTTGTTTTGTGTGTGGGTGGATGGGCACATACACGCAGGTATCAGAGGACAGCTCGCAGGGGTCAAATCTCCTCCTTCCCACAGTGCGTCCTGGGGATGCGATGCCTGCCACTAGGCTTGGTGGCAACTGCCTTCTCCCGCTGAGCTGTCTTTTCTCCCCCCAAAGGATTAACAGTTTATGCTTTGAGTATTTTGCCTGCATATATATCTATAGACTACATGTGTGCTTGGTGCTGGAGGAAGCCAGAAGAGGGTGTTGGCTCTCCTGCAACTGTAGTTACAGATGATTGGGAACTGCCATCTAGGTGCTGGGAACTGAACCCCGCTCTCCGGCAAAGCAGCGAGTGTTCTTAATCTGTGAGTCATCTTGTTGGCTCCTAAGAAGTTATTTTTTGAGCTGAAGTTCTGACTATGGTGTTCAGCCCAACCCTGAACCCCAGATCCTTCTGCCTCAGCCTCCCAAATGTTGGGATCTCAGGCATGAGCCATCATGTTCATGCCAGGGTGGTCTTGAACTCCTGGGATCAAGTTACTTTGCCCAAGAACAACATGTACCATCAAACCTGAATTTTTCTTCAAATATTCTCCCTGAAAATATGAGTCCATGAATCCTGATACATTCATGGCCATAATGGCTTTTTACTTTATTCATCACCAAGGTTTTCTTTCTATTTTTTCATGCTATTGATCCTACTTGGAATACTTACTCTCTTTACAACTTGTTTAACCTATTTTATTTTGATGTTCAAATGTTTCACAAACACACACATACACACCTATCTTAATCAGTTCACGGTAACTGCTCCTTCCGGCCAATTCTCACTTAGTATTTAACAAAGTGTCTCCTCATGTAGTAACTATACGGTTATGCCTTATGTCTCTTGACAAGATTGTGAGCTCCTGAAGAACAGGATTTTTGTTTGACTCATTCTTAAATATCTAATGTAGGAGGGAGAAAACACACAGATGATTAGCAATTATTTGCTCATTGAGGTCCGCCAGGTTCTGCAGCTCTCAGTCCCTTTGAGGAGTAAGACCTCGGAATGGGTTGCTCTGTTCATTTGTTGATGTTGGCCACCCTCCTCCCTTTCAGCTCCTCCAATAGACAAATCCCAACGCCTCTCACCCGCGTCCATGCACCTTAAGAAGTCGGGGCAGCTTCAGCTCCTGGGCGCCAATCTTATTCTCCCGCCAATTCTGTCGGTGACCTCCGCCTTGTGGCCAAAGCGCCAGCCTGCCTACTGCAGCTCAGAAAGGCGTTTTGAGGCTTAAAGAAGCAGCTATTTCTGAAAGATGGCTCCCACAGGCAAGGCAGCAGTTACTCATCTAAAACCAACAAAAATCCCCCCAAGCTTGGGTTTTTAGTGTATATTTTTATTCACCACACACTCTTCCGGTAGAGGGCGGGATTTAAACTTCCGGGTTGGGCTTGATGCAGCATGGGAAATGTAGTTCTAAGTGTACACGCGTCCCTGTCCCTAGCCCAAGCGAGGGAGCGTCGCGAAATTAGCGCATTCAGGGACTCTCATTTTCTGCTCTCCACAGTGACGACTGGTGAACTGTTTACACCAAAATAGTACAAGAACAGATTTTCTCTTTCCGAGAACGCTTTCCTGCTGAAGCTTGGCAGTGCACGCGAGCCGCCCTTCCTTAATTCAGAAGGAGCAGGTAGACAGTCTCTCGGTTCCTCACAGGCAGCGGCTTGCCTTGACGCCCCGCCCAGGCCGCGCCTCCGATTGGCTGCCAGCGCTTGAGCGGCGGAAGCAGCTGGCTCGCGGGGTTCGGGGTGGGAGCCGGCCGCGAAGATGGCGGCAGTGGTGGAGGTGGAGGTTGGAGGAGGTGCTGTTGCGGAAAGGGAGCTAGATGAGGTAAGACGAATTGAGGGACAAGAAGGGAGAGGCAGCTTGAAAGTGGAAGGAGAGGAAGTGAAGAATGGGAGCCGGAGGCCCTAGGAGAAACGGGAAAGATCCTGGGGAAAGAGGGAGCTGATTGGGAGGTGGATTTTCCATGAGGGAAATCTGAGGGATTCTGACTCAGGGACCCCGAGGCGTTCCTGGTGCAGTAGATTGGCAGTAGCTCTAAGGGTAGTGATGGAGGGCATGCCAGAAGCCAGAGAGACGGCAACGTTAAAGATTTAGAGATTATTAGATGAGGTCCAAGACAGGACTAAGGGGCTAGCTAAGAGTAGCATTAATTGGAGGGGCGTGGACTTCTGTAAGGCAAGGCCGAGGCTTTCACTATGGGAAAGGACTATGAGCTTGACCCGAAGGTTAGGGGACACAGATCGGGAAGCAATGCTAATATACTAGTATTACAACTCTGAATTATTTTTAGGTAGGAGCCATCGTATTCATTTTTACATTTTAGGGTTTGTACATACCGCATGCTCAGTAAAGTTTTGGTCAGGGAATGAATGAATGATTGTGTTTGAGTGAATAATTTTGTAACAGAAACAGCCCATTTGTTCATTGAGCAAACATTGTTACTTCTGTGGCAAGTCCGGGGCTAAGTGCATGGGACACAAGAGACCTTCTTCCTCTTGTAGAGTTTACAGTGTAGTTACAGGATAAGAAGAGGCATTGCATTGCAAGTATAGTGGCAGTTCTGAGAAGAGGCCTAGGGAAGGTTTTCCGGCTGTTAAATGGTTTCCTAGTTCATATTTATCCTCATTCTTTTTCTCCCTCCCTTCCCCTCTACTCACGGGTTCCTTCCAGGCGAACTTGAGAAGGTATGCACCTGCTATCCAATAAGCATTCAGCAATCGGGGCATTGAGTGATTGTGGTCCTTGAAGGAGACATTGAGCTCGAGAGAATGAAAAGTACAGGGCTCTGTAGAAGCAAGCGAAGGTAGGAAAGATGAGGGGCGAGCTGAGGCCAAATGGTCAGTGATAGTTTAGAGTTGTGGTCTTCTCGGTGATAGCAAATGATTGAGATAATACCAAAGGGATGGGCGGGGAGGGAGGGGGGAGTAGCGGTTGTCAGGGATGGAAGTAGTGGCACCTCTGGAGGGTGAGAATTCGTGAGGGCTCTTGCTCTGTGTTTGCTGTGGGATAGATTGATGAAGAGCCTCAGGAAGGGAGTAGATGTAGGAAGTAATGACGATTGCGTGGTGTGAGGTCAGTGTGTTTTTGTTTCCCCCTTCTGATTGCCGTTAATGAAGTGAGAGCACCAGACTTGGCAGGTAACAGGTGGCCTAGTTTCTTACCCGCCAATCACCTAAAAACTAAAGGTGTTTGACCCCTACTTGGTTGGGAAGGTAAAATGGTTGTAGAAACAACCTCCAAGGCTCCTTCTAGCCTAAAGTCTCTGCGTTGACAGTTGGCTGCTGTTGACTGAGGTATTTTGAAAGCACCTTAAAGTAGTAAATAGTGTGCTGAAATTAAAATTTATGGTTTGTTAGTCATGGGTCTTCATTGAAGAAGTTTCATGTGTCTTAATTTTTTTTTTTTTTTTTTTTTGGTTTTACGAGACAGGGTTTCTCTGTTTTGGAGGTTGTCGGTCCAGCCTGGCCTCGAACTCACAGAGATCCACCTGCCTCTGCCTCCCGAGTGCTGGGATTAAAGGCGTGCGCCACCAACGCCCGGCTCATGTGTCTTAATTTTTGGAGACAGGGTTTTGATATTTCTTTCATGTTGTCGATGAACTCTGATTCTCTCTCCCCTCTCTCGTGAGTGCTGGAATTACATGTGTGTGCTGCTGTGCCTGGCTGGTTTTTGCCTTTTGTTTCTTAGTGCTTTAAAGTCTTAAATACAGCTAGTAGGATGAGGCATTTCAGTGTTGGGTCTGCAGGTCAACTTTACATGAAGCCACTAGCATCCTTCTCAGAACCCTCATGGCTTCTGTTATATTTCGAGAAAGAATCCCTGTTGTCTGTAAATTCTATGTGAACTGGTTCCGTCCTTTTCCTTATGAGTTTAAGAAAGTAACACGAGAAGCAGGAAGTTACCTGGAAGCTCCAGGAAGAGCCAGGTCTGACCTGACAGACTTCAGTTTGTATGCCTTTTGCTACTGTTTTCTCTGCTGTTTTGTGCTCAAGCCTTCACTAGTGAATGCTAAGGTGAACAGCGTCAACCATATATAACTTTGGGGGCTTACTATAAGTCATGCCTTGGGAATTCAGAGATGAGTAAAACAGTACCTTTACCAGTCTGCAGTCCTGTGAGAAGACGCACGTCGCAGTGCTACTGCTTAGGTGTTAGATTGACAAGAAGTGCAGTGAGGCACAGAAAACAAACCTAAAGTTGGTAGGGGAAGTCATGATGGAATGGAAATAAGCTGAAGAATTAAAGGTTGAACCTACAAAAAAAGAAAGAAAAAAAGCTATGATTTGCATGTAAATCCGAGTTGCTTTCAAACTGGGCTTTCTGCCTGCCTGACACATCTTACGCTGGAGTCCAGGTTGGAAAAGAGTAGTGGGAAGCCTGGCTGAGACGGGAGTGATGTACTTTTCTACTTTGGAAAGAAAGCACATGCTGTCATTTCGTCTTCAGAGTGTTATACCTTTATTTTTAAAAATCAGATGTCACTCTAGTCTTCCACCTTTTGGTCTGGCTTCATTATTACCTTCTCTGGAAGCCGAGAGGCAATTTAGGCATTGCTAATAGCTCCTGCATTGGAGAAGAGGGTGGACAGATGGGCTGGGGAAAGAAGCACCAGCAGAAATGGGCACTGCTTATGGAGTCTTTAAGCCACTGCCATTTAAAGCTCTTACCATATTGTCTCATATGAAGTTAGATGCTATACCAATGGCATTTTGTCTTTTCTTTAAAAAGGACTAATTTTAGTTTATGTGTATATGCACACGAGTGTGCCAGTATTTGTTTTTTTAAGATTTATTTATTTATTATGTATACAGTATTTTATCTGCATGTATGCCTCCAGGCCAGAAGAGGGCACCAGACCTCATTACGGATGGTTGTGAGCCACCATGTGATTGCTGGGAATTGAACTCAGGACCTCTGGAAGAGCAGTCAGTGCTCTTAACCTCTGAGCCATCTCTCCAGCCCATGTGTGCCAGTATTTGTAGGGTCCTGAAAAGGGTGTCAGATCCCTTAGAAGCTGGAGTTATATATAGATGGTTGTAAACTACCCAATATGGGTGCTGGGAACTGAACTTGAGTCATCTACAAGAGCAAGTATTTTGTGTTCTTTTTTTTTTTTCTTATGTGCTCTTAACCACTGGGCTGTCTTTCTAACCTCAGCCCTATTTTTAAATTTTCTTTTGAGATGAGGTTTTGATACGTTTCCCAGGCTGGCCTTGAACTCAGGATCCTCTTGTCTCAGTTTTCCAGCAGCTGGGATTACAGCATTCACACATCATGCCTGGCAAACTACTCCTTTTAAATACTTGAGGCAAAAATTTAAATCAGCATTTCTTTGCTGAGAGGACCAAAATGAATGTTAACCAAAAGAGTTGTTGTTTTCATGTAAGTTCTTTAATTTACTGATAACATGACCATGCCAAATTCTTGGTCATAAAGAATGATTATTGCTGCAAGTGAATAATTTACATATTCTAGGCCTGATTGTCTGTCTGTCTGTCTGTCTGTCTCTTTTGAAACAGTCTCAGGTAGTAGACCAGGCTGGGCCCAAATTCACTATGTACCCGAGGATTATTTTTTTGTTTGTTTGTTAGTTTTTGAGACAGAGTTTCTCTGTATAACAGTCCTGACTGTCCTTGAACTCACTTTGTAAACCAGGGTAGCCTTGAACTCATAGAGATTCTCCTGTCTCTGCCTCCCGAGTGCTTGGATTAAAGGCAATTGAACAGCTACCTGGCCTAAGGATAATCTTGTTCTGGTACTCATGCTGAAAGCCTTTCCTTTCTGAGTCTTTCTTGCCTTTCAGGGTTCTAGCCAAAGCTTTCTTGGCTTCTAGGACTTTTCTGATTTATACATTAGACTTACCCCCTGCTGTTTGCTTATTTTTGTCATATTGAGATAAGGCACCTCTATTAATCCCATATTGGCCTTCCTGACTTCAGCTTCTTGAATGCTGAGATTATAGACGTTTATTACCATATGTAGTTCCCTGCTTTTAGTCATAGTCGTGGGTTTATTCTTTAGTTTATCAGTTTATTAAATCTTTTTTGTTTCTTGAGACAGGATCTTGGTATGAAGCCCTGGCTGCTTTGAACTTAACATGTAGACCAAACTGATCTTGAACTTTGATCAGTCCTTCTCCTCTGAATGCTGGGATTACAGATGTGTGTCACCATGCCCAGTTTATTCATCAGATTTCTATGTGCTAGTTCCAATGTTATGCCTCATGGTACAATGGATACAGTGTGATATGTCCACAAGGAGTTCATAGACTAGGACAGGCTCAAAGACTGACGAGTGGAGGAATGTGTCACAGCTGCTGTGATTGCGGAGTAGGTGTAGTTAACAAGGAAATGGCTACAGCATAGCTG